GGTACAAGGTCACTGAAGTGGAGCTCCCGAAGATGATATGCAAGACTAGCCACCTAACCATCGTTTCGCATTGCTTACACTTATAGCAGCTATGGCGGGCCAAGCCAACTCTGGTCAATAAATAAGCATTACAAAGCTTCATGGGTATTTTTTAGGGATCCTAGTCGTATCAAGTCCCACATTCTTAGCTACGACTGTTCTTGAGAAATGTAGGGTAGTTGTTTTGCACTGACTTCTCCATGAATTTGAAAGACAATTTCTAAACTGGTTGGTGAAAAGAATGATTTCATTTCTTTCCCCAGAGCATTGGTGAGAAATGAAGGCAAAAGAATAGGCACACCAATTCCATTTTTCACGCTGATAGCCGTTACTTTGCCTACACATCTGCTCCAAAGTAGGCGCCCTGTTTTACCGTATGATGCACAAGACCACAAATAAGCGGCACTTAATGAGGATCGAACTCACTATAGTAGTAATGGCCTGCGGAACAAGATTACTACGGTGAAGAGATTATGCTTTCTTTTTTTATCTTTCGACGTAATTCTTGACAATTATGAATTAAAAAAGATAATTGGTTGATATGTAAGGAAAAAAGTGCGCAGGTGTAGGTTTTAAGAAAGCATTATTCAACTGAGAATACAAGGTTCGCACATAGTGTCCTTTTATAGTCCTAGTAAACAAAAATAACTCTTTCAAAGAGGCGATAACGAAACAAGGGGAGACTACTCTTGATTATTTATAACAATCAATATTGTGAATACGGATAACCGAAGTTATTTTTTTAAGCCTAATAAATGTGGATATTGGTATTTTATAGCATTACTAGCCATTTTGGGCTTTACTGGACTGAATCAAAAACAATAGTCAATATCTTTTTGGCAGGATTAAAATCTTTGGTCAGATTCTTGTTTTTATTCTACTTACTTCTAAAATTAAATCAATAAATTTATATTGAGTTTCTACATTTCTGTCATTTACGTATTGACCTCGTTGCCCGTTCGTAAATTTGGCTTAGCTTCTCATTCTCTGTCCTCCACCCTCTCACCTTCTCTACTTTCTTCTCTATTTCCATCTCCCCAGCCCCTCACTCTTTCTCTCTCATTTTTATATATTTTAAGCAAATCTTTTTTTTAATTTTAAAAACATTTTTAAAAATAGATATTTAGAAGAAACGGCATAGTTCTAAGGCTTCATCATTAGTCAGGGACAAGAAAATATTAGGAGAAAATATTCTCAAAAACAACAACAGCAACAACAACAACAACAACAACAACTGCTAAACCAGTGAATATCGACAGATGAACATAGCACCTTTTGTAAGCGTCGAGTTGAAGAAAAGCCAAAGATAGATTTCTGTCGTAGGGCGGGAAGAAGATTCTAGCAAATATACACCAAAAAATAAAACTTCGAATCACATTTAAATGAACCCTTAGCTTAACTGTCAATCTATAAACGGTAATACAATATGGCCACTGATACCTTAACATACACAGCAAGTAGAAATTGAATTAGCAAATATCGACTACGCTTAATCTATCTATTTTGAGCTTACAGTAGTTTTCATCTAAATTTATAATCTTTAGTGGGTTTTTTTTTAAGGATTGGCCGTCAAAAGAAATCACATGACATTTTCTAAAATCTCGTATCGACGAGTCCAAAGTGCCAGACCCCACGCATGTAATTAAATTACTTATTTTAATTTAATCGACACCGCGTGTTTTTTATAATGGTGATTATAATAATATAAAAAAAAACATAAAGATACACAAAATAAATAAAAATAAAAATGTTGATGTTGGCTCAATATATATATATATATATATATATATATATATATAGCGGTAAGTCAGAATCGAGGAGAACGGCAAAAGTTATAATAATCTAGTGTTTCATTCTTCTTTTTCTTCTTGCTTTTCTTCCTCTTTTTCTTCTTTGTCCTCTTCTCCCTCTTCTTCTTTTTCTCCTGCTTCTTCTTTGAATTTTTCTTCTCTTATCCTTCCTCCTCTACTGCTTACACTTTTCTTCCTCTTCTTTTTCTACTCCATCTTCTTCCTCTTCTTGCTCTCCTTTCTGCCATGTTTCTTCGAGATGTTGCTAATGATGGCTCTCCACAAATTTATATCCCTTGTAGCTCTTAGTCTTTTTATTTCGTTATCTCTCCCAACACCTGTTCTGTCCTCCATTTAAACAAGCCCGTTTTCCTTTCTCCCTTCCGTCTTCAATATATCCTGTGAGTGTCAGATTTTCCAAGCCCTCTTTCTATATAATACATCCAAGAAATTGTCTGTATCTGCTTCCAGATATAAGCGTCCTTTTTGTTTCCATTTTCATTTTCATCGTTATTCACATGTTAAGTCCATGGGAGTCTCAGCAGAAGTTCCAGCGTTAAACTAAATACACAGAGGAAAACTGGTTTTCTATTGGTTTGTTTTACGGCATATCAACCACAATGGGTTATTTAATGCCGACATTTTTTTTTTTTTTGGCTGGTAATATTTTCCTCTAAAAAATAGCTGGTAATTTTTTTTTTTTTTTCAAAAATGCATTCCTGGTAATAATTTTTCCTCAAAAAATTTATTGCTGGTATTAAAACTTATTTTTACACTTTCATGGTGTTTTGACTTCAGTTTGGAGGCTAACTATTTGCCCAAAGTTGGGACCCTACCAAGTGCTACCACCCGCCGCGGGTCAGAATGGACCTGCGAACACCAGCAATTAACAAGTAGTTCCACGCTCCTCAAAATCTCCTCATCGGAGGCTTTGCTGTTGGACGTAGTTTATCGCCACACCCAGGACGGTAGGAAAAACTAGTTTTCATGAAATCATTTGCAAACAAAAAATAAAACCAAAACTCACACATATATCTAGACAAAGAAATTTGTCATAGTATTTTTTATATTTACTCAAATACATGTAGAATATTAATTTTAGGTTAACACGATTCTACAACAGAGGGTGAACTCAGTGTGAACAAAATTTGCTATATTTGCTTAACGTCTACACAGTAAACTTGCGAATGTTTGTTATCTGAAATTCTGGTCGAATCTATTGATTAAAGTTATAAGTATTTTCCGTTTGGGGAGTCAATTTTAATGCCAAATCTCTCCTCCTTACTATTAATCATATGTGACAGTTAAGAATAAATGTTGAATGCAACAACAATGTTCAATGATAATGTTCAATGATAATGTTCAACGACAATGTTTAACGTTTCAACAATAATATTCAACGATAATGTTCAGCAATAATATTCAACAATAATATTCAGCGATAATGTTCAACAATAATATTCAACAATGTTCAACGATAATGTTCAACGATATTCAACGATAATGTTTAACAACGATGTTCATCAATATTCAACGATAATGTTCAACAATAACCAACGATAATTTTCAACAATAATGTTCAACAACAATGTGCAACGACAATGTTCAACGATAATGTTCAACAATAATGTTCAACAATATTCAACGATAATGTTCAACAATAACGAACGATAATGTTCAACAATAATGTTCAACATTAATGTGCAACAACAATGTTCAACAATAATTTTCAACAATAATGTTCAACAATATTCAACGATAATGTTCAACAACAATGTTCAGCAACAATGTGCAACAACAATGTTCAACGATGATGTTCAACGATAATGTTCAAGAATGTTCAACGATAATGTTCAATCGAAAAGATAGTTGACTGACATGAATAAATCTCCAGAGCCGACCCCAAAATCTGAGACCCACGTGGAAAAGTAGTGTTGTCTGTATGGTCGGATCGTTGGTGTATTATTCATTAATAGTCCTTGAAAAGGAATGAAACACCAAAGGCACATTTATACTTTAACCTGCAACCTGTCCATAAATATTAGGTAGAAAATTGCTCTGCCCTTGTCAATAGGAAAAATGTTTTATCTCCTTCCTGACGACACAGAGCTACATATAGCCAAAATAATAGGAAAGCATTTGGAAAATCGATTAGATTGTTCTACCCAACCCGCCATATTTACCTGAACTTGTGCCAACTGTTTATTACCTTACTTCAATCACTGCAAAACGCTTTGATAGTGAAAACCTTCTCTAATGAAAGCCAAATTCATGATTCAAGAGTTCGTCGAAAACTTTTTATACATCAAAACCTAGGAAATTTTACTCAATAGAACTGCCTAATCAGTGACAACGAACCATTGCAAATAATGGTCAATATATTAATAATGTAATTACATAAAATTTAATTGCACTCTATTTTTTAAATAATATTTGATGAAACTGATAAACGAAAATTATTTATGACGACTACACCTCTTCTGATGATGTTTGGATTGCTACATATCTTGCAAAGCGGTCGGCACTCAATGGAAGCTCCACATCTGCATCTGTGACACTCACATAATTTGAGCGTAAGACGAATCGCGACTCCAATCAGAGTGCACTTATCATCCAGAAAGGTACCAGTAGATGAGATGTTCACTGCGTTAAACCAGGTGGTTGTGAAGCAGAGACAGGCGAGGAGGTGCTGATCCAGAGAAAGCCTCAAATTAGTAAAATTGGCTTCGTACTTTATCCCAGCTTTTCTATTTTCGTGCCGATGGAAAGCTGCAAGTTGGGATTATCATTTTCTCTTTTAAAGTGGGGAAATAGTTGATTTGGGATGCGACCTTTGCCGATACATTTTCGACCGGTAATTTGCTCAGATCCGCGGTTGAGCCTGGGTCTGTCAGTCGGGAAGCGGAGATTTAAAAAAAAAACAGTTATTCTTCTATTTCGGACAGATTTATTTTTACTTCATTGGCAGTGGAGACTTCTGGGATTATTGAGCCTCGTTCGATGGCGTTCCTTCGAAGGATTGGCGGGATGGCGTCTCGATTAAGGGACGAGGCTCACAAAACGGAGTGGCTCTTGCAGCATGTCTCACTGGTAATGTTGCGGGGTAATCCTTTCTCCATCATTGCGGATGGCATAGGATAGCAAAAAAAAAAAAAATTTAGTCTTATATTGATGACGTCACAAAAATGCGATATCCACGTCTTTAAATGGCGTACTTTTCTATTTGCTGTGACCGGTAGGGATTTTCATATTTTCTTTTTCTTTCTTTCTTTCTTCTAATACAAGGTGACGGTAAGGTGAGGCCAGAAGAACTGCTTAGCAAATATCTCAAGGAAGAGATCGGTCGCGTGAAGGATGCCCTTGTGCTTTTCTACAATCTCGATGTCAATGCAGACAGATCAATAACCCCAGAACCGGATTTAAGGGCAGCTGAAAAGTTTTTCGACACAAACGGTAAGTCACATGACCATCTTTCCAAGACGCCAACATTTCTCTCTGTATACCCTTTCTCTTCTCTCTCTCTCTCTATATATATATACTTTCTCTTCCTTTTCCTCCCTCTCTCTACTCTCTCTATCTTTCCTTTCCTCTCTCACTCTCTATACTCTTTCTCTTCTCTCTATATACTTTCTCCTCCCTCCCCCTCTCTCTCTCTACTCTCTCTATCTTTCCTTTCCTCTCTCTGCTCTTTTTCTTCTCTCTATATATACGTTATCCTCCTTTCCCCCTCTACTCCTTCTCCTTCCTTCCTCTTTATACTTTTCTCTTCTTGTTCCCGTCGCTCTCTCTCTCTCTATGCTATTTCTCTTCCCTTTCTTCTTTTTATATCACTCTCTATACTCATTCTCTTCTCTCTCTACTTCATCCTCTTTTCCCCTCTTTCTATACTCTTCCTCTCTTTCTTTTCCTCTCTCACTCTGTACACTCTTTCTCTTCTCTCTCACTACTTTACCCCCCTTTTCCTCTCTCTATACTCTTTCTCTCTTTCCTTTCACTCTCTATACTCTTTTTCTTCTCTCTCTTTCTACATGATCCTCTTTTTCCCCTCTCTTTATGTTCTTTCTCTCTCTCCCCATTTTCTCTCTCACTCTCTATACTCTTTCTATTCTCTCTCTCTTTACTCTATCCTTCTTTCCCCTTGTCTCTCCCTCTCTACTGTTTCTCTTTCCTTCCTTCTCACTCTATACTTCCCGTTCTTGTCTCTCTCATTCTCTATACTATTTCTCTTCCCTTCCTTCTCCCTGTATCACGCTCTATACTCTCCCTCTCTCTCTCTCTCTCTCTCTCTCACTCTTTATACTCTTTTGTCCCATTTCCCATCTCTATACATTTGCATTTTACTTTCTCTCACAAAAAAAGAATCTACAATAAGACAAGCGAACAATTCATAGCATCCAAGCAACTTTTCTCTTCACTATACGAAGATGCTGATTCATTCATTTCTGACATATTGTTATAAAAAAAAAAAGAAGAATTCGAAGGCAATACAAAAAAAAATGTTTGTTGCTTTACGTTTTTTTTTTTTTCCTTCTGTTCCAGAATCATCGCATATTTATCAGTGATCAGAGCAGGAGAGAGACGTTGGCGGATGTAATGGCGTTTGTCTTTTATTGCTTTGTAAGATGAACAAATTCTGAGTAACGAGACCGAATTCTTTGAGTCTGTCGTTTGTTTACTGATGCAATTTATCTACAGCGTTCATCGGAATTTTCGCATAACTTTCTTGTTTGTATATGAACAAATATTTCTTAAATATACTTATGGCTGATGTTATAGAAGAGAGACACATTTCTAACGATGGCTAAATGAGCAGTAGAAGATTGTGATGCGTCAAGTTTTCAAATAAAAAAAGCCATTCTGCTTAAAAATCAGCCTTTATAGTTTTGACCACTGAACTTGTTGAGAAAGATATAGTTACATCGGTTTGCTATTTATTTAACTCTCAAGTTTCAATGGAAAGAGTCTGTGTCAAGATTCAATGCAAAAAGTCTGTGATTCTAGTGTGTCTCAAATAAAGAACAAAGACTCATTGATATCTTAGAAAATAGACGATGATTTTGAATCGATTCATTACTTTTGCCTCTTCATCTTCGTGAAAAGAGAAATTCTGATTTAAAAATATAATGGACGGCGGATTGGCTGTGAATTAAGACATAGCATGACCTTCAAAAAGCAATCTTAATAATTTGGGAGAAAATGTCACTACTTTGCCTAAAAAGGCAAAGCAGCCATGAAATATTGATTCATCGGATAACAAATCGCGAGAAAAAAGTATTAAAACGATGGTGGCTCAGAAAATTCTATTCTGTGTTGGAAACGTTGACAAAAATTTTGCTTGAAGACGCTAGAAAAGAAGAAATTAGAATTCTACGAAAAGGATTCATAGTTATTTATACGTGAGGATGTTGGAAAAATTCTCGTATCGGACAAGAAAACTGATCTAGAGCCATAAAATCTTCTTCTATGTGCCGCGTCGCTTCAGGGCATAGGTGATCATGGCTCGCCATAACTTCCTATCTCTTGTGGCACTTAGGAGTTTTTTCTCCTTTTGCTAAGCGCGCCCTCCGTCCCATCACTTGTTTAAAGCTTATCAATGCCTCCTCCTCTTATATTCTCTAACGCCCTCAATATACCTCATGGCAAGCCTTCATTCCTCATAATCGGTTCAAGGTTTCAAATTTTTTAAGTGTATACGAACTTTATAGACAACCTATTTATTTATTATAAGTCAATTATTAATGTTAATAATCCTTTTCTCGCGTAACTACATTATTTTAGGTTAACCTCTTTTATATCCACTAACTCCACCGTGCTTCTGCCCCCCACCCCACACTAACTGAGGGAGAACGGTGGAGTAATGGATAAGGGCTTGGATTAAGGAATTGTAGAACCGAGTTCGAGTTCCAGTCAAATCCCTTACATTCACTTACGTGCTAATAACATTGGGAAAGGCTGAATCCTCTTCAGGTATGGGTAAATAGCAGGACAGACTGGGTTCTATAGCCTTGGATGGCAACTGGTCTAGGAAAAATGAAAATTCTGAATTCAAAACCTGCGGAGGGTCGTTTAGAGACTTTGTGGCATGTGGTGCACCAGGTTTCTATATTCGGCTCTTCAAAAAAGTGTGGTTGGTTCTGCACAAAACCTTCAACACTATAACCAAGACATATGTGCTAGTGTCTGGCTGTCAGTTCCTAGGAACTGAGTTGCTTGACCTTCATACGTCGATTAACGACGGGAGAGTCCAGTATATATATATATATATATATATATATATATATATATATATATATATAATGGATCAAATAATATTTATGTTGGTCACACCACAAACTCGCTTTCACGTCGCTTGACTCTACATTTAAATGAGAACTCTAACATTTTTAGGTATTTAAAACAACATGCCTGGCCACGTACTCAATTCCGGAAAATCTTTGTTGACAACACAACTATACTTAAAAATGAAAACAATAAACATAAATTAAAAATTCTTGAAGCTATATACATAAAATAGTTGAAACCTAACCTGAACAAGATAATGACATCTCCACAAATATTCTTAAATGCCTATAATTTATAACAGAAGCCATTGATTTATACCAACGGCATCACATACTTAATACTTCTCGTTTTCACTCTCGCGTGGTCATGTGTGACGTCACGAGCTGCGACGAGATTTTCGCTTCCGCGTCTCGTATACACGAGTTTGTCGTTGCTTTGAAATTTTTCATGCAGCAAGGAAGGACTATCGTTTCGTCCGTGTGTTGTTTGATATATTGAAATTGTCATCTTTGATAATGGCTTATGTAAGCCGAAAGCTTAGATAGTATCAATATGGTGTCTTCCTTTCATCTTTCAATGTTAATGTGATTAAGCTTATCAGACAATATGAAAGGAACTTGTCTATATTATTTAATGAAACATGCATTAATATATATATATATATATATATATATAGAGAGAGAGAGAGAGATCTGTGATTTGCTCCCTCGTTCATCTAAACCATTTTGCTTTATATTCTAACAAATGTCCTTCAGAAGATTTTCGGGATAATTGCTTCACTTTCCTGTCGCCTCTTCACTGTTGCAATGAAATTTGAAGGTCGACGGATTATTAGTCAATTTGCGCTTCATAAACCCAGCAAAATGGAAACAGTTCTGAATTCTCGGGGGGGGGGGGGTAAAAGTCAAGTAGCATCTTTCCTATAATGCTCTCAATTTCTCGCTAATGAGATTTTGTCAAAGAGAAATGAGGTTCGTGTTAAGAACTGACGAAAGAAATTCTTTCCTTTTTCCAAGACAAGTGTTTCCATGTTTTATACAAAGCAAAATAAGTAATACCATAGTTATGAACACGTGGCCGAGTGGTTAGAACGTTCGCATTCTGACCATGAGACCTAGGTTCGAATCTCATCATGGTCGATTTGTGAGGAAGGAGACGTGCGGCACCTTTGGAAAGCGTATGGCACCTTTGGAAAGTGCCTGAGAACCTTGTGAGTGAAATTGGTTAGGCGGAACCCTTGGGTGCCGTCGATAGCTGCGCTAGCACGAAGTCACAAGTCATCGTGGCAGAGATCTTGAGTGTGCTGGACTTGTCCAAATTGTTGATCACTCCAAATTATTGATCACGCTAGATTTCCCAAAAACTGTAACTAAGGTTTGTTCAGTATAGTTGCAGTATAAACCACAAATGAATTCTGTTGGTATTGAATAAACACAAAAGTTTCCAGTTATACATACATACAATAGTTACGCTAAATCAAAAACTAAATGCACAAATTTTAAAACGGTTACTTACTTAGTTACATATAAAAAAAAACATCCCATTAATCTCATTGTCACTTCGTTACATCGTTGTTAAAGAAAAACTGATTCTATTTTCGATATGTTAAACGGTAGACAGACAGAAAATTTTCGATTTCCGATTCTTTTTTTTTAAATTTCTCATTTATTAAAATTGATCTCGAGCAATATATAATTGAATATTGTACGTTTATTCCCTTTTGTATAAACCTTTATACGTATCTAAGCATTTCTTTCTATATACACAAACTTGCCAGTTCGTTCTTCGTTTGCGAGTATCAAAATGAAGATGGCCTGTTCGTCTATTGCAACTGCAATTTGCCAGCCGATCAAAAGCGAGAGAGGGGCTAACATATTTCTTCAGAATAATAGTACAAACTAATAATAATAAATAATAGTACAAACTAATAATAATAAATAATAGTACAAATTAATAATAATAATAATAATAAATAATTGTACAAACTAATAATAATAAATAATAATAAAAACTAATAATAAGTAATACTGCAAATTAATAATAATAAATAATAGTATAAACTACCTCCACGTGAGGAACAGAACTTGGTTCGGTGATTCCATTTTCGGCATAGAAAATAGTTTCATAATCTCACTCGTCAATTTACGACTAGCTAAATCGATATGAGTCTTTGACTCGTATGACACAAGCCTAAATTGAAACTCAGTCTTAATGGCTTAGTAAAAGTTGATAAATACATTGCACTAATGAAAATTATACTCTCATTATATCAAATAAAAATACGACCAGAAATATGAAAGCCTTTCAAATTGCGAAAAAAAGCAGCATGTCAAACACCTTTGAGATATCGAAGGAAACAGCCTCAGCTTCGCCACTGTTATCTAAAGCTTGACAAACTCTTTCAACTATAACCCGTAGCACATTGGCAGTTGTTTACTGGGACAAGAAATGACTTGTTAATTTTAACGCTTCTAAAACTAAACTGCTTTCTTTTAATCATCAGGGAGAACCATTTATGACTTCCATCAACAGATGCAAACCACCAGGAGAATTACTCATTTTGCCTTTTAACATTTTCCACTGACCTGAATTGGAACGATTATATCGAATCAATTGCTAAGTTTGGTATTAAGTTGGTTCACTGTGTCTATGTTGCACATTTATAAAACTTACCCACCGTCCGTCCATTGAATATTGCTGGTCTGTCTGGTCGGGTGCTTCTGCTATGTATCGATAGATTCTTAACAAAATTCAAAGACGAAAATGCAATGTTATCGGTCCAGACCTGGCATCTCGGTTTCAATCATTTTCTTTCCGCTGTGACGTAGCTTTTCTATTATCTTTGCTATAAATGTTTTCACGGCAATTGTTCCAATGAGAATTCCTCTTTGTTATATCGTCTTCACGAATTTAACTGCAGTACTATAGTGGCAGTTAGGTCTCACCATTTTACTGTTGAAATTGTTAGGTGTAACCGTATGTTCTATTCTAATAGTTTCTTTGCACGCACTTATCACCTGTGAAACTCTCTTCTGGCTTCCTGCTTTCCTGTCAAATATGAACTTTGAAATATTCAAATGCAACGTCAATCCTCATGTTCTGTCTTTTA